GCGGGAATGAATTACCCTCTTCATCCGTTGCAAGCATTTCCAGCTTGGAGGCTGAGCCAAACACAGCAAAACTGGGCCTGTCCACTGCGGCAGGCTCTGGGCTTGGGAGGCTGGGGTTGCGCCCAACACCCTGCCTCGGGACTAGGAGGAGGCAGGAAAGTGCTGGGATCAGGGTGCTGACGCCCAGAGGCACCAAGAGTCCAGAAAACCACGGGGATTTACAAGGGCCTGGCTGGTTCCCGGAGGAGGAGGGAGGTTCTCTCCCTCTGGATCTGCTCCTGGGGGCTTGGAGAGCCCCTCCCCGCTGGCCGAAAACCTCCTACCCTGGGGTATGGCCAGGCCTTTCCTTCTCCCTCAGGCCTCAGGGCAGCCTCACCCCCCACCCCGGGTCTCCAGGAAGAGAACTCCTAGTGCCAAGCAGGGCACCTGGCCAGGGGGTGGCATGGGGGACTGACTGTAGGAGGAATTCGTCCTGGGATGTCTCAGGGAGGCCCGGGGGTGGAGGGGGAGGGGGTTACAGCCTGTTGGAAGGGGGCCTGCCCCACTTTCTAAACCCAAAGGATCGGTTTCTATTACACAACACTCCGCAGACCAGTCCGAGACCTGCCAGGCATGTGGGCAGCCCAGTTCTCCCCCTTCCTCGGGGCGAGACGCAGGCACCGGCTTCTCCCGGAAGTTCCCGCACCCCTTACGCATGTTTGACCCATCTCGTGTTTCATATTGAATGACCGTTGTGAACATTTAAAAATCAGATTTTATTTAAAAGCTCATGTTCAATTTCTCTTGAGGAATCAGATCTAGTGTCACTGGGCCACACTCTGCCCATCCCCTGTGTATGGCAGGGGGCAGCGGCCTTGTGTCCAAGCAGGACTGGGACGTCATCCCGACCTGGAGGAAGGGGCATGGGCCTCTCCACGGGGCCTGCTTGCAGAGGGAGCTGCTCCCTGGGGCGTCTGAGGGAAGACAGGACTCCTTAAGCTTTGGGGCAGGTGGATGTACCCAGACGGGACCTCCCTTCACTCAGTAACCAGCCTCATACTTCCGTGCCCCAGCGGGTGGAACCCAGTGAGGGGCTGGGCGCAGTCTCGTCCTCTGTGAGCTCCCAGGCGGACGCGTGGCTTGTGACCTCAGTACCCGAATCTGTTTCCTGGATCTGCTGTGACAAAGTACCACAAAGTCGGTGACTTCAAAGAGCAGAAATGGATCCCCTCGTGGCTCTGGGGCCAGAAGTTAAGTTAAGGGTCAGCAGGGCCACATTCCCTCCCGAGGCTCCAGGGAGAACCCGTCCTTGGCTCTGCTGGGGCCTGGTGGCTCCACGTGTTCTGGGCTTGTGGCCGCAGGATCCGGTCTCTCCCTCCAACTTCAGGTGGCCTTCTCCTCTCTCAGCTCTCCCTCTGCCTTTCTCTGAGAGGGACCCTTGGCATTGGACGTAGAGCTCCCCTGATAACCCAGGACGTGTCATCTCTAGGTCCTTAACCTGATTACCTCTTCAAAGACCCTTTTCCCAATAAGTT